CATACGATATTTATCAAAGAAATACTTCGCTACGGTGCATTCAATTGTCTGTCCCGTATCAAGTTGTAGTGGGAAGCTGAAAAAAGTACAAGATTCTCATTCTTGTTTTCTCTCTTACGCTATTTCTTTCCTCCTGAATTCTTTCGCACCTTCTTTGCCATCTGCATTTTCAGGGTCAACCTGGATGCTGCAATCTGCTGCTACTTAGAAAAGTGAGACGTTTCCGGCACAGTATCCTCATCGAAAATATGAAAAAAATTTGTAAAACATGCTAAAAATGAGCTTAACGAGGGTCAGGACGATATGGCAAAAAGCTCAAGACTGTGCCAAATTCGCAAGAAAATGCGTACGTACCCATATGCGAATAATAACTCCTCCACCTCTCACCTCTCTTCCCCTTTTTCCCCCCGCCTCCTTGCTTTATTGATGTAAACCAGTCGAATATGCTGAAATGACTCACGTTTGAATTTGAGCAGAACGACGCGTAACGTTACAGACGCGATATTTGCGCCTCATAGCACCGCAGTGTGTAATTTCAATCTTCAGACCACGTATTTCTTTGGTGAATTTCACACGTTGGGCATCAGAAAGGGTACGACGATCGGCTAATGCTTGGACGGGCACCTCCAGAACTTCAGCAATAAATTCGATCACAGGCATTGAGCGGTAAAATGCAGTAGCAGAAACTGAAAAAAAAGCCGCGTAGCACACAAAAACACAGTCGAGAAAAGTACCTCAAAAAGAACTCTAGTCGCTCCCCGCCTCATTATCTTGGTATTTCTATCGTCAATGGGCCCTTTCTCAAAAACCCCGGACTGGGTGGGAATCGAACCAACCTCTTTCATTTCCTGATGCAACGTATTACCACTACACCACCAATCCCTGCGCTCCAGAGTCAGCCTGGTAGCACATTTACTGTGTATCTACCTTTCAGGGCAAGGTACACCTTGCCTTTTTTCTTTGCGGCGGCTTCTTGACCGGCTTCTCGAGGATTTTCCGTGACAATTTTATGCATCTCCTAACTGATTTTTTAAACCTGGCTATCTCAGCAATCAACGGTTACTGTTCCCATTTGTTTTTCCAACTCCGTAACACGAAGTAGAGTGGAGGATCCCCATCGGGATAGTATCCCCACCTAAGGCAATGCATCTCGATAGCTCCAAAGAAGTAGCATTTTAAGCAATTTCAAAGAAATTATAACGCTCAGAAGCTAACCGTCAATATTGAGCATCATTTTCCACTGGCTCGGACGAACGCTTTGATGAAAACCAAACCATACTTCTCGTCCACCACCTAGCTTACTCTCTGCATGATATTGTTGAGCTGGATGAGCTGGAGTCGGGGCATGCGCAGAACTCATCGGTGGAGAGAAGAATGAACGTCCCACCGGTGTGTACCTTGACAAAAAAGGTTTCAGCCACTTCTCATTCAAAAACGAAAAAACATATCCCCATGCACACACACACACACACACACACACACACACACACACACACACACAAACTTACACCTCCAAACACAGAAGCTTAAAAGGAACAAAGCTAATGAATACAAAGAAAGTGGAAATTCGCATACTTTAAACTTGGTAAATGTCGCAAAATTACATCCATAGCTTGAACAGATTCGAAAGGCACTTGACGTGTACGCCCTTCCATTGCATCATCGAGAGCCGATAACGACACCTAAAAACAACAACAAAAATTCTAGCTCAGTATGATTGTAATTAAAGTAATTAAAGAAATATAACCTAAAACCGCCTAAAAAAACCTCTTCTAGAAATTCAAAAAAAAAAAAAGAAAAAACGATATCGAAGACAAAAAAACCAGAAAAAAAAACTGAAAAAAAACCTAAAAGCTTCATAAGACAAACCAATTTTGCTATGACCTGTAGCTCTTGAAATTGGCGAAATCCAATGAAAAAACATCGGAATATTGAAAATAAGTTAATTAATTTACCACTCCAACCCATCTGATTGATACAGTGAAATGTCGTTCGACAGCCGAATCGCCGGGCAACGTAACATCCAAATCGACGCGTTCACGTCCAATTGGTAGATGCTCACGTGTATACATGTTACGCTTTCCATCATAAACGGGTCGTACGTTATTGAATACTTTGGAATAGGCCCGAATCATCGTGTTCACGATCTCTCTGAATCGAACAGATACAGGCAAATTATAAGTGATTCACTTCAGAATTATATGGAACCATAGGTGGATCCAAGGCGGTCTTCTGAGGGGATTTTTCACCTCATCTTCTTCCTTCGTTACTACATTTCCCTCCCCCCTCCCTTCGGGCAGCTTTCAATCCGCCCTTCACTCGCCGCACCACCTC